GAATTTCAATTTCAAAGTGCTCACTGATTTGCTACTTTTATGCGCTTCCAATCAGCGGCAGTGGCAAGCAGCCAGTCACCCGGTGGGAGGGAGCCAAAGCATCCGGACGGGCATTAGCATAACCTCAAGGCCGGAGCAGGGAAGATGGGGGTAACGAAGGGTCGGGCTGGCAGACCGGCGCCAGGTGATTGCCAGGAAGGCACTCGTTCTGTTTGTTGTTTGCCGCTGGAATTGTCAAGATATTCCCATGAATATGCTTCTGCTTATGCTTCTGCTCCTGCTTATGAGCAGCTCAATATGTTTATGTTTGTGGCGCTTGGGTGGGGTTGGGTATTCACTTTCATGGGGTGTCGGGTGGAGCCCGCCAGCAATTTTCGATGTAAAACTATACTTGAAATATTGTGGGAATGTGTAAGCCAATTGTTATATAATTCTTTGAAATATAAAACAGAGATATTCATGCAATTCTTCGAGTTGGTATACTAGGGCTCCTTCTAGCTCCTATGTTTGTGGCCTAATTTTAAAGACAATCTCCAGGCTTTATCCCATTTATGGACACAATTTTCTTAGCAAATTCCAGATACTTTGGAGGGCCCTCTCCCCCCCTCTCTGACCATTCCTGAGAGGGCCTAAAGCGGGGGCTTCAACAATCTGTCAGGATAAAGTCATTGTCGTTGTCATTGTTGTTATCCTCATTCCCATTGTTGCTGTCGTTTCTTGTTGTTGTTAGAGCCAAAAACAAATAGACTCGAAGGAGAACAAAAAAACAAGAAAAAAGCAAAGAACAAGGAGTGGAAGATCCCACTGCCGCAGCAGTTAATACCCTTTGAAGGTTCTTCGGTGCAGTCGAAGATGCTGTCTTTCTGTGCTTTGCCAAACACCTGTTCAAAGGCATAGTACCCCCCCGACAACAAAGTGTATGGCCAAAAGACGCGCAAATAAACAAACAAAGGAGAGCAAAGCAAATGTCGCTGGCGGCACGTCCGCGAGGCAAGGATGCCAGGATGCGAGCTCCAGCTTCTCTGCCGCGTTGTCAACGTCACGAAGCTCTCCGTGCCGCGCCGTGCCGTGCCGTGCCTCTGTGTGCCGTAATGAGCTTACCTTATGGATATACAAAACAAGTTGCCACTGGATGCTGCTGTTGCTGCCACTCCTCTCAGAGCTTGGCCTGCAGCCAGCACTCTGCTGCACAATTGGCAAGGATGCTGGTGATTTCCTTAGCCCGCTTCCTGTTGCTGCTGGTAGTGCCGCTTCTCAGAGTACTTCTTGGAGTTTTGGTTTCAGTTTGAGTTTGAGTTTGGTTTTGATGATGATGTCTTTGGCGCGGAAATCCCTCGCACGGTTGTCGCCTCGATTCTCCTTTTTTTTTTTTTGTTTGTTCGTTTGTTTGATAAATTTACGGCTAAGAGCGCACTAAACGGAAACAGAGGCATAAAATCAGTCAGCACTCTCTGGCAGCTGCTGTTTGATTTTACGAGCGTCTGCTGCCATTACGCATACGACACGCGGTACCCGCCCCCAGCGCCCCACCTGTCCGCCCGTGCGAGACATTTGTTTGTTTTTGTTTTTCTTTTGGCTGCATTTCCCGCATTTAATTATTGCATTTCCCCAAACAGAGAGAAACGAGAGCGAGTGGCTGCTTGGGACAGCCATCACTCATACGCAGCGTGGTGCAGTGGCAAGTGGCAAAGTGGCAGGCATTCGCGCGCGCGTTTCCCAATTTGCAAAAACAAATGCGAGGGCCCATAGACTTGAATACAAATATAATGAAGTCCAAATAACAATCATGATAATGTTAGGGAAATTATGAAATTTTTGTGTGTGGGCCTTCGAGATTTATGGCTTGTCCAAACATTGTCTGGCCGTAGCGAAAATCATAAGTATCGGGCGTCTATATATTAGCACATATCTGTATATATAGCTAGAGCATCGTTTTGTTGCCACTCGCATTTGTTGCTGCTGCTGCTGCTCTTTTTTGTTTCATTTATTTAAATATATACTATGCGCACTCACGCACCCGCACCCGCACCACGGACACCGCGTGTCCCGCACTGGCAACCCGTACCCGTGCCCGTACCCGCTACAACGTTTGTCTTACACGAACAAAAACTCTTCCTGCTCTCGCACTATTTCCTATGCGATTGAGATTCAGAATGAGATTCCGACGGACGACGGAGACGGAGACGCAGACGGAGACTGACACACGGAGACAGCGACAGCGACAGCGACAGCGTCAGCGACAAAGACTCTCTGGGGGGCTACTGCTCTGGGGCGCTCCGCACACAACGACTGACCAAGAGCAACTGAACGCCACTCTCGAAAGCGAAGAACTTTTATAACCTCTCCTGCCCACGGCCGATGCCCGAGACGATGCTCGGAATGGACCATTCTTTGATAGCCGACATCGCGGCCGATGTTGGAGTCGTCGCGACGACTGCTGTCTGCCTGCTGCCTTCTGCTGCTGCTGCTGCTGCTGCACCTGATGCGCGCTCTCTTCGGGCTCTGTGCTTTGTCGGCCACTCTCTTAGTTCTGGCGCTCGCTCTCTTCGGCTCACGTTGGCGCGCAAAACTGTTGCTGTTGTTATTTAATCGCCGGCACATCGCCTCGCTCAACATTATTTGCATACCCTGCAGCCCAGGGGGAGTTGCCTGGCTTGGACGGTTTAGTTGTTGATTCAGGGAACCAATTAGGAGAGTGTTTATGGCACTGGCACGAAAGCGTATCCCCAGTTCTTCCACCACGATTGCCGGCTTAATAGCCGCCCCCACAGTTGGATTTCCGTACTGAGGTGTACTTTCGCACTCACAGTGTAAATCAATTGATGATACGGCTATCTCCGATCTGGCGCTGGCTGCAGCTGCAGCTGCAGCTGAGAACGTGTTGAGGTTCGGTTCGGGTGTCGATCGCCAGTCTGTAGAGGGAACGTGTTGGGCAATGAGCGCGATCGCTCAGCGCCCGTCCGGCTAATGCCTTTGTCCGTCGTCGGTGTGGTCGGGCGGGCAATTTGCCTGATAGATCGCACATCGCACATCGCATCAACTATAATTCTGACAATTTGTTGACACTTTTGTATCGTTGTTGGTGTTGGATCTTTTGTTTCGCTATACTTGTTGTTGTTGTTTTTTTTTGGGGTTCGTTCGCGTTTGATGATGATTATTTAATGGCAATTTACGCGATAGTTCGCCCACTTTGTTGGATTGTGTGTTATGATTATATTATTGATAGAGACAGACAGAGAGAGAGAGAGAAAGAGAGAGAGGGCGATCTGTTGCTGTCTCTGAATAATTGTTGACGAAATTCGGTTTCAGCTGGTGCCTCTTTATGATTGATTTATGAGTGGGGGTCTCTGGGGGTCTCTATCTGCCACTCGTTTATTGCGGGCTTGTCTCATTACGCTGAGCGCTGCCAGAAAATTATTATTATTTATTTACTTGGCATAAACCGACCGAAGACAAAGTTGTTATCGAAGATAACCGAACAGGCAGCCCCTTTGTACGGTTGCTAAATTGTTGCTAATTGAGTGCCATAAATGGAGTGCTAATTATGAAATCAAGTTTGAACAGATTTGGCAAATATGCCAGATACTGTATCTGAGAGATAAATTCCCCAACAACCCATGTATCTCTTAGTATTTTACTATTTCCACGTCGCAGTCGTACGGCCTGACTCATCTCATAGCTTTTCCCACAACCGAATTCCTACCGAATCATTACTCATACATCCTGTTGATGTTTACCCCCCTTTTGGGGACTGTCTCAGACCCCAATCAATTGCGGCACAATTCTATCGAAAACATTATAAATTTGTCAGCTTTTTGGTTGGGTTTTGTCAACGTGGAATGTTGGATGATTTATTGGTTTATCTTGGATTTGAATATACATGTATTTATTTTTAAACAGCCTATGAATTATATTTATAAAGAAATTGTTAGAGTGAAAGAAAAATTAAGTTAAAATTAAATTTCAATAAATTCCCAAAAAATACACAGAGCATATTGTTAATTTACTCACTACTCCTCCTCCTCCCCTTCCGTACAGGCCTTCCCACCCTTATCACTCGCATTCACAAAACCCAAACAGAATTTATCGCATGCGATATATGTCACGGAGGCGTGCCACATAGAGTATTCGTCTCTCTATTTAATCAGTTTATAATAAACGACAGTAAGTATTCAGTGTGTGGTTTGCTGTTGTTGTTCCCATAGGCTATTGTTTCTGTCTCTGCTGGCAAATAAAATGCAAATTGTGTTTGGGTTTATTTTTAATTCAGAAACCGACAGAAATAATTAACTATCGAGTGGAAAATGACACCGACACTGAGCTTTTATCAATGAAGCAAAAGGCAAATATAATAAAGCAGGAAGGCAGCGCCATACATTATCAACATAAACCAACAAAGGAGGGGCCCGGCTCCCATATAACCCATATAACCCCCATAGCCACCCGCAAAAGTTTCAGTTTCAATTTCAATTTCATTTTGAGTTTTGCATTTGTTGTTGGAGTTTTTTTGTTCGAAATATTCTAATTGGTTTTTGTGCTTGGCGCTACACGATTTCCATAAATTAAATGGCAGAAATATTTCGCATTCACATTTGATTAGGGGAGAACAGAACAGAGCACAAGGCAAAGTCCGCAGAGTCCCCCCGCCCCCCACTCCTCCGAAAGTGGCCCAACATTTTACACTTGAAAAAAAAAACAGAGGATAAACATTTAATGGGAACTTTATGTTTTTTAAGGAAAACCTATGCCCGAAAATGGTTTAAAAATATAAAATAAATATTTGCAGGACTCAAAAATCCTCAATGAATATCCTTTTTCCCTCCGTGTACCCCGCTTTGGCTTTGGCTCGAATGCAATGTGCAAGTGTCACTGATTTATGGCCAAGAGTTGGCCTGCGAGTGTGTGTGTGTGTGCCAGTTAGCTTGTTTTGACCAAGTTAACTGGTTTAATGGCCCAATAGAGTGAAAGAGTGTGTGAGAGAGGGGGGGTAGAGTACTCACTTGTTCCACTCCTCCGTTGACTCCGCTCCTGCTGCGACAACAGCGGCAACTCCAGGTCCCCTCCTGCCTCCTCCTCCTCATGGCTCTCAAGGCGTTTTGCCATTTTTTTGGTTTTTTTGTTTGTTTAATATTCGCTTTGATTAATGATTATATACTAATTATTGAGGGAATGGCAATTTCGATTTCAGTTTGAGTCTCTCTGTTTACCGAAATCACTTAATTTACGACTTGGCGCCAAGCACCGCGACACTCCACTCCACTCCACTCAAATGGCGCTCTTATCACACTCCTCCGTTGGTCTCTTATCAGCCGGCGGCATTGGTTGCTCAGAGGGGGGCTGAGTGGGGGGGGGTTTGCTATTCCTAAGTAGCTCTAGGGCACTCGATCGGCTGCTGCTGCTTCTGCTGCTGCTGCTGACCCACATAAATCACGTTCCAATGGCCCAAAATATTGGCCAGACGTGCTGGCATTCGCTGGCATTACACTCCACTCCCGTTCCAGCCAAAACTAGGGATCGTCCATAGACTGGGCAACTACTTTCTCGGGGCGGCTCTCCTAGTGAGACGCGACGTGCGAACTGTGCAACGGACGGTGGCTAACTGACTCGTACTCGGACTGGGACCCGGACTCTAGTTCTGATGCTATGCTCCGAGCATCGGGGCGACCGGCGTTGCCTTAAAGGCAGTCCAGTCCCACCGACTACCGAAAATAAAGCTTCCACTTGTTTGTTTTGTGTTTTGTTTTATAATTAACAGCAAAGACAAAAGGAATACGGAATGGAAGAGAGAGAGAGAGAGAGACCGCCAGTGGGAATACCCTCACAGAAGGCACAAGGCGAATGGAGGGAAATGCTTCGAACAAATCGAAAGTGAAAACAGTAATACCTTCTCATCAAAGGGGCCTAAGAGGTACCCAATAAAATCGTATTTACACGTCCATTGATCGACTCATTGGACTCGAACGAGAAACGCTCTCTCGATCACCTGCTGCTGGTGGGCAAACAGATCTCTCGTACTCATAAAGAAGACAGCCCTGCCTGCAGGTGACAGCTGAATGCCAGACCCTCGCGAACTGGCCCTCCGCCCATCTCCCGTTCCACGAGCGATATGATATTTGCCTTCAGTTTAGTCGATCCAAGTATTATCAAGTGATATTCGTCGGAAGATATGCAAATTCCCCCGCGAGGCGTGCTCAAGGTTTTCTCTGCCAAATCGAGGACTGGTTGTGTGGTTCGGGGGCCTTGGCATATTTCACTTGAATTATGGGAATCGTACTAATCGCATACGAGGCTTGCTGGCATTAAATTCCAAATAAAACAATCGTTTTTTAAGTGATAAAGTATATTTATCTGCTGTTCTTATTGTATTTCCTGCGGGCAAGAGTATGTGCTACGATTTAATAGGGAGTACAATTGTGTTTCTAGTCGAAGCTTCTGTTCGTGCTTTTACACGACACTTACCGTTGCTCTAATCGGTCTGCACTGCAGTCCCCTCCCAGCATTCGTAAACATATCTTATCTGCTCGGAGAGTAACTGTTAAACAAGAATGCATGTAAGAAGGCTGGGCTGCATCGCGAGAGTGCGCGAGAGGGGATCACTAGAGCGGGAGAGAGCGTAAGTCAGGGAGAGCCTACCGACGCCGGTGAGAAGACTCTCGAAAAAGTTGCACTGAATGAAGCATATCTCTAGAACGAACTCCTGTCGCTCCAAGCTTTTAGTAGAACAAGAATATTCCCTTTGGAAAAGCTCCAATCGCACATCGGAATAGACAGTTCTCCAACCCGATAACTCTGTTAAAAGCTCCCAGGAAAAGCTTTTCTTTCAAGCGCAAAACTCACCTCAGGCGGGTGTGGCGCCAAGGATGTTTGCTTTTCCCAGGATACTCAGGGATCTACCGTAACACGGCGAAACGGAACGTCAGGACTTAGCACGCATTAAATAACATCAAAATAAACAAACAATTTTCGCAGACAATTGCTTCGAGGTCCTGCCGCTAAACAGCCGCAACAAATTGTGGTTAAAGCGAAGCGACGTATGACGTAGATTGAAGTGGGTATGGGATGGTATGGGATGGGATGGGGTGGGGTCTGGTGGGATTATCCTAGCGGAAAAGTATTCTGCCGCGTGGGTCGTGTGCCGTTTCAGAGAGATTCATCGAATGGATTTGCTCTGGTTTGAATGCCAAACGCTAATCGATAGAAACCAGACAAAGGTCCTTCTTGGGCTGTGCGTCAGGCCAGGGCAGGGTGGGTGGCCTGTGGGCCGTGGGCTGTCGTCTGTGGATGATGGGTGAATGGGTGCTCTACCAGCTCTTGACACTATCAATCTGTTTTCTGTGCATTTGTTTGTTTGCTTTTTTGTGTGTGAGAACGAACTGTGTTTGATTCAATTATCACGACATGAATGCTTCTGAGATCCAGAGATAATCAATGGGAAATATCTTTGGAAAATACGAACATAGTACCACCGATTAGGAGTGCACTTTGTGCCATGGTTACTGGTTCCAGGAGTGATACTATTTCTTGTACTATTTTTGATTTCTTAAAGATTACTTGTTAATTTTAAACTACACTTTTTAATCTTTTCGATTATCATAATAGAAATACACCATTTCAAAGTGCGAAATTGGATTGGTTTTTAATCTTAAAAGTGACGTAGAATACGTGTTTACTGAATAGATTGAAAGATGGATTGTACTTCTATATTGATTCAAGGGGAGGTTCCCGTTCTACGGCCCAAACAATGGCTTCTATTTCAGGCATTTTTTTACGACACAAAATAAGGTATTCTGCAAAAACTTTTGGTAGGTTTTATTGGTCATTGAAAGAAGTAATTAATTAAATTTTGTTCTTAAACAAATATTTTATAATGGCGTCTCCAGCTTCCGCCAAAGTAGCCTCTCCTGGCAAGAGAGAACCCTTGAGACTTTCTTCTATCCCCAGAATACCCCAGGGATAAAGCCTTAAAGCCACTTCTTCCCACAAAGCTTCTCTCCGAATTAGCCTTCCAGCCAACTCTTTGCGTGCCTCCCTTCCAAATTAACATGTTCGGTTTGGCTTAGGCTTTAAGAACTCTTCAAAAATTACGCACAAATATGCAAATCAAATGAGAGTTGCATACACACATTGTATATTTGATTTATTTTATGGTTTTCCCACAGTCAGGTCAGGTCAGATCTCGGCGATTAGCGTCTTCTTCGGTGCGCACTCGTTTGAAATGCGATAATTTAATTGTGGCCCAATGACAAGTCCGAACCACATTCTAACATCAATCCATCCGCACAAAAAAAGGGGGTTGGGACGGGAGTAGCCGTACCCGTACCCGTACCCGTCCTCTGTAGGGCGGTTTTCCTGCCAGCGATTCCGAAAAGTTAAATTAACAATCGTGTTTACATTGGTTTGTAACAAGATTTCACTTAAGGATGTCAGCTTTTGTCCCGCCACCACACTCGCATTCCTATCTGCTGCTCAATCGGTACGGTTCCTGGGTACCTCTGGATCGTGTTCCGGGCACTTACCCTCCATCAAAACTGATTACTGTCATCACGGACGGACGCATGGTCCGGGGGGGTGCCGGGGGTACTGCGGAGTGTGCGCCGACGCGTGCTACAAGCAAATTTGTCTGGTAATGAAAAGGTTTGCGCATCCGCCCTGACATATTGCCGCGTCGTCCCATTGTTCGATTCGATTCTACGACTGCTCGGGATTTTCGCGCCTCGGGTTAGGGCACGCGACCGGGTCGTCCGCCTGGGCGGGCCATCGCTGGCTGAGATTCGGCGAGCACTTGGTCCCCGACGTAGCTAATTTTCGCGTAAACCAAAACATCAAATAAACATAATTCAATTTCAACAATTGCCCCGTGCGTGACTGGTGTTGACAAAGGCTCTGCGGCTGCTTCGAGTGGTTCCTGATCCTGCTCTCGTTTCTCCTTCTGCTGGGGGGTTCGTTCTGGTTCTGGTTCGGGTTCGGGTTTCTGGTTAAGTTAAATGATCCGTGAAATGTAGAGCATTGACTGCTATCTCCCATGGCTGTGTAATTGTCCTGATCCCGTGGGAATGGAATCCGACTCCAGTTGCTCTCCGATCAACAGGTTCGATGGCTGGTGGCCCCTATAAAGAGCTCTCATTACTGACAGACTTCCTTCCCGATTGTCCATCTCCCATATGGCTGTGCTCTCCCCCTATTTCAATTGGGCCTGCGATGGGGTTAGGTCTCTGCTGTCTTCTTGGTCTTTCCATCCCCATCTCTCCACGGATATAACATGGCGGTTGCCTGCTGTGCGAAATATAATGGCAAAATGTCAAAAACAGGTGACGGGAAGCACAAAAGCTAAAGCTACAGCCGAAAGGGAGTGGCACAAATGGGGAGGGCATCGGCTAGGGCGACTAAGAGATGCGTTACAGTACAGGGAGAAGAAGGAGAGATATTTGTGGCAAATTCAAGACCTTCTATTGAAGATAATTCCAAGAAAATAAAGTCTTACAAGCTATAGTTCCGCTTTCAAGTATTGTATACTTTCCCCTGACAGCTCCCCATCATACGTGACTCCCCCCACAAGTGACGACAAATCAATTACCATAATTAGCTACCATCTCCGCTACAGATCTAAGGGGTGGCGTTGTAGGGCAGCAGCCAGAGGCCAGTAGGCTGAACGACTTTCCCACACACTCAGCATCGCATCCGAAGCACCCTGTACTTGTGAAACTCCGCCCACCCGGTTGAGGGCGCCGCACGGCGAATAGCTGCCGAGGATGCTGAATGCTTAGGGGTGGATTTGCGGGTCCTGTCCTTCCTGGGCAGAGTTGTGGCATTTCCAATTGGATTTTGTGGCAACTATAAAAGGCTCGCAATTCCCGGGAGACGAACTCATTAAACATTTAAACTTATTGGACAGCGGAAGTGTCGGGAAAGGTGTCCTGTCCGGGTGAAACGTTAGAAAGTGGAACTCCTCAGAACCCATCTTGAAGTGTAGTGAAGTTTTCTCGGAAAATTCAAGAAAAATGTCGCGTAATCAATTGCCAGATTCGTCTTCATCACCGCCAATAAGGTGAGAGAAGGGGTCCTGTCCTAGTGAGGTCCTGTCCTATCCCCGAAAACGCACCATTTTCTTGGCCTTTTTTGGAAGAAAACTATTAAATCTTTTTCAATTAAAAGTTCATAAAGTTATAGTTTTAATCAATCCAAAAATCTTCTAAGAACTGGCATGGTTTTGGACCCTTGCAAGCTTAGTTTTCGGGTAACCTCCCGAAACTTTGTTCTTGCCGACGGCATCTCCATTTCAAATACAACTCTTGATCCTTCCAAACCCTAACCCTTCGTTGTACTCCCTAGCCACATGCCGTTCCACAACTTTGACGATGATCTGATCAACGATCTGCCCTCCTGCATCTATGCGGGCCAGCATCAGGGTGGCAACCATGGGGGTGGCGGAGGTGCCGGCGGGTCAGGTGGCGGCGGTAGCTCTGGACTGCGCCTCAACTCGAACAATCTGCGGCACATCCAGCAGCACTATATGCAACACGGAGGAGGTACATACGACTGAAAGAAACCTAAAGAAATAAAGTCGAAAAACTACTATATAAATCTGTTGGATTTCGTAGAGAACCTCTTGGACTCGTCGACCAATCCCATGGGTGTGCATCAGTCGAATAGTGCCACGCCCTTGATGTGCAATAGTCCCAGTGCCAGCAGCAGTGGCGGAGGCCCTGGAGGATCTGGAGCCCCAGGAGGATCAGGCGGAGGGGGAGGAGGAGGCGGCTCAAATCCCAACTACGGCTCGGTGGGTGCCACAGCCGCCTCCAGCTACAAAATGCAGCGACAGGCGGCCAATGTGCGAGAAAGGAAACGCATCCAGAGGTCCGCACCAACTGGGTACACCAAATGGTCTTTTCCATTTTAAAAACATTACTCTGCCTAAAGCATCCCGAGCCAGCAATGGTCGACTAACAAGCGTCATTCCCTCTCCCTTCTTTTCTTTTCTCTACATTCTTTGACCTCTCGTTGCGCTTTGCAGTAGCATCAATTCGGCCTTCGATGAGCTGAGGGTCCATGTGCCCACATTTCCGTACGAGAAGCGATTGAGCAAGATCGATACGCTCCGGCTGGCGATTGCCTACATATCGCTGCTGCGAGAGGTGCTGCAGACCGACTATGATCCTCTTACCTACGTGGAGAAGTGTCTTCGTGGAGAGATCAAGGCGGATCGGGCCAATTGGAATACGAGTGGTGGGTTGATCACAGGATACTTTAGAGAGGAAAGAGGGTTCTTTAACTGGGATATTCGTGTGCTTTTTACCATAGATCTCACTGCCCGTCTCTCGTGGATCAATTGGGAGAACCTGGGCGTCCATCCTGGACGGCGTACCCTGCTCACCTCGCTGGCTCTGTCCTCGGAGCCCATGTGTGGTGCTCACTGCGGCATGCCATGAATGGGATGGTGTCCAGATTAGCCAAGCTAACTCTGGAATCGATTGCTAAAAGCATTAACTCCAAGTTCGTCCCCCCCAAAAGTCTTCCCTCTTATGATTTAGTTAAAGACTGGCTAGGATTTCTACAGTTACTAACAATAAGCAATAGTAATATGTTTTTATTTTGAAAAGCATCCAAAGACACAAGACCCCAAAAAACCATCGAAGCTCCTTTCCCCCCACCCAGCTGGGAGAGGGGGGAATAGTTGTTGGGTTCGATGGCGGCTGCTGCTGCTGCAGTGCGTGTGGGGGGTGGGGGTTGGTTTTATCAATTACAAATCAATTCCTCAAATCATATTTCAGGATATATATGTAGTATCAGATCAGTTGTAAATAGTGAGTATTCTACGAAAACGAAGAGCGTACACAGACCGAACTCCGATTCGTGGCTAACAGACATACACATACACATATACATATACAGTTAGGCAACTATGTAACAACTTTAAAAGCATTTTATATAAAAGTTCCACACACTACACACGTGCGGTGTGTTAATCTAGACGTAGACGTAGACATAGACATAGACATATACATATTATATATAGCTCTCCTCCTAATCATCGTACATATACTCGTACTCAAAAATAAATACTCTTTTGATCAACAGACACAAAGAACTAAGAACACAAAATGTTGTCGTATGTTGGATAAGCTGATGGATGGATTGATTGTTGTGTGAAATGCGCGTTTGTGAATTTGGTAATACATGCTATAACTTGGTGTTCACATATATGCGGAAGATATCATCTAGACTCTAGAGACTTTGTTTTTTGGCTACTACTCCTACTGCTGGCGTTTTTCGTTCCGATTTGGTAACATGGGTTCTTTTGTTTTTTGTTTTGATTTGATTTCGTTGGCTAATACTCGAATCGCTTTTTGGCTTCAATGATAATACAGGCACACCTACATTATATGGTACTATACCCAATGACACATTTAAACGACTACGCTCCTAATAATTGAATTTTTCGATTGCTTCTCCAATTTGGTATTTGGTTTTGTTGCTTGTTTGATCTAATATTTGATCTGCTGGTCGTAACTCCTCTGCTATCGATCTTAAGCAGGATTCAGCACTGCCACCTTCCGCAGGCTCTCCAGTTCGCTGCGTTTCAAGCGTAATGCAAACATCGACTCTATGAAGCCATGACAGTCCGTCACAATGCTGTCCTGGATCATGATGTCGCGAAAGTGTGTGGCCAAGGCGGCAATATCGTCGCAGGCCAGTATGCTGGTCTTGTGGGTGACAAACATGGCCAAAGCGGCACGGAAAACAATCTTGTAGCCTTCGGCAAACACACAATCCCAGATGCGCAGCACCGTCTCAACCGGCAGCACCTCGGCAAATATGCAGATAAACCACTTGCTGGCTATAACAGGATAGGGAAGACCTGAAAAGGGACCAAGGGTGAGACATGAAAGGAAACCCTGATGGGAGAACACTCACCCAAATTGTCCACATGCCGATTGACAGCGGGAAAGCGCCTAATCACCAGCTCGCGAAAGACAGCGAGGTCCCTTAGCAGATTGGCCATGTTGTGCGAGTGATACTGTGGCACAATATTCTCCACGATATGCTTGAGCAGCCAGAAGGACTTCTCCTCGTCCTCGGTGACGATGAGCAGCAGCCCGGCTATGTAGTTGAGGCCCTGGCAGTAGCCCACATCTCGATTGTGGTGGGCATAGGCGATGAGGATGTTGTACAGGCGCTGCTTCTTCGTGTCGAAGTGGATATTGTCGGGAAACGTACGAGGTAGATCGATTGATATGGAATCGCTGATTTCCTTGTCAAAGGTTTCGGTGTTCAAGAGACTGCGGTACAGATTGGGCGCCCGCTTTTGTTCGGCTGCGGCGCCGGATATCTTCATCCAAACATCGGGACGGTAGGGGCCCGGTATCCCCTTTCGAATATATCGCTTCAGTTTAGCATCCACCTGGCTGAGATCTGGGTTCTGCTGCAGTATGGCCTCCCATTTCATGCGACGGCGTGTCAACGTCTTCAGGTAGCCGTCCATGAACTTGGAATAGTTATTGTAGTCGAAGTTTTGGCCACGTTTGAAGCCATACTCGTCCACATCGCTACAAAGACCAAAATGAGTGTGAGGCTGAATACAGATTCAGTGAAGCGTGCTGTCCGCTTTGGACTCACCTGAACTTTGAACTTGTGGTAGCATCCATAAGAACTAATGACTAGATTTTGTATTGCTCACGTTTGTTGGTCGTTCGTTGGTCTTTTGGTCTTTTTTCTTGTTTTTTTTATAAGGGTTCTGCTGCGTCAGTCAATTGGCGTTGGATGTGGCATGGCCCCAAAATTGCTTTTTGGTATTCAGCGCACGTTGCTCGGTTACGTCGCTGCCGCTAGCGCTGCTTCCGCTGCTGCAACTGCAACATTCAATTGGGTTAAAGGTCATTAAACATTACTTGCCACAAAGCCCTTCATTTATTTTTAAGTAACTTTTAGCCTTGCCAATCGCCCACCTACCTACACACTCTGATCCGATGTCCTTGAACGCTGTGGGGTGGCCTTTTGTGTGTGCGCCCACTCGTGCTGCCTCTGCTGCTGCTACTGCGCTGCCTCTGCCTCTGCCTCTGCTGTGGTAGGCGTTTTAGCGCGCCTCTTCACTGATAACATTTACCTCGCGCCACAGGAGTGAGGGGCCGGATCAGGGGACACAGGTACAGGCACAGGTGTCGCGGAGCACGTCTCGGGTGCCAGCGGCGTGCTTTCGGTAACTGGTGATTGGTGCGTTTGGAGCTGCCACTATTGATTTCATTGAAGATTTATGTGCCACTTTGATAATGGCTTAAACTAACTAAGATAATTGATGATTTTAACGCGAGAGCGAGACCAGCAGCAGCGACCCTCAGAAATATACTGCAAATATACTAAATATATAAATATTTACGTATTAACTACACGCTAACTACTCATTTTCTTTATACAACTACACTTTCATGTAATTACCAAAAGCGACACCTGAAGGGGAAATTTGTACGTTCAAAAATTGTTGGCCTTTTTTTTCCATATAAGCCCCATGGAAGCGCCAGTGTGAAAAACCTCCGTTATCCACTTTTTGACATGACTTTTTTCCGACATTTTTGAAAAAATTGAGATTTTTATGGCCAACGATCAGGAGTTCGATGCTGGGAAATGACTTTAAATGGAAATTCTACACGATTTCTACATTGGTGCATTGGACAAAATACTAGAAAACACCGTGAAAAGTATAAAATTTGAAAGGTGTGTGAGCTAGACATGGTGGTAAAAAAAATCAGTGTGACCAAAAAATATTTATCCATAAAATATACCGTATGACACCCAGAAATATACCAAAATATACCGTCTCATTTCTAAATACTCTCTACATGAAATGTACAAGGTGTGTGGAAAGAAAGGTGTTTTAGCCAAAATACAATAATAGCAAGGACTAAAAACTAGCCAATCTTGAGAAAATTTATTCATCAACGGCCTAAAACTATGTGGGCAAATCTGAGAGATCTAAATGGCCAGTAATATTCGACGGAACATCAAAATTGAGGAATATGTATAATAGAACTTCAGTTCGTCAGTATACGGTATATTTTGGTCTATTTTAACGATAAGGTCACACTGCACATTACGCAATTCAAAACAACAAATTATTACGAAAACTTTGCGTTTTATACACGCATTAAATACTTTAAGGGATCGACAAGCACTACAAAATGCTGCGAACAGCTACGATGGGACTCCTGTCAGCCGTGGCGGTAAAGGCGGCTCCAGAGGCGGCTCCCAAAGAGAAAGATCCAAAGAAGAAGAACGACGAGGACTGCTCACTCGTGTGCCGCCCCAGCGAGCTGCCAATCTACGGCAACCTGCGCAAGACACAGTGAGTAGAGTGCACGGGTCGTCCTTTTGAAGCCAACGCCAATACCCATACCATGCTTTAGGCCCAAGGAGCCGCGTGAGCATAGAGAGTCGGCGCTGGAAAAGAATCTGGAGACCGGAGTGCGTGCCGTTCGGGAGGAAGTGCAGGCTGGATATCGGGCGGTGGCGGACCAGGCCGGCATCATCGGCACATACGTGGACACGGCCAAGGCCCATACGCAGCACACCCTCGACATCCTGAACGAGCCACAGAACTCGCTCCATCGCAGCGGGGCCATTGTGGTGGGCGGTCTGGCGGGTTTCATCTTTGCCGCCCGCGGGGGCTTCGTCAAGAAGGTGATCTACACTGGCATTGGCTCCGGAGCGGTGGCCTCCATGTGTTATCCCCGCCAGGCGGAGGACAACTGCCGCGTGGTGCTGTACGAGGGGCGCAAGATCTTCGCGGTTGCCTACAACTTCATAAAGGGCGTGAAACCCGGCGAGGAGGTGCCCATTGAGCCTATCCAGAAGTTCCCCACCTCGCTGCAGGACCTCAAGTTCTTGGCCCTGGATCTGATCGATGAGGCCAAGGAGGTGGTCCTTCCCAAGAAGAAGTAGACGCAGAGGCAAGGCCTTGGCTTTAAACGAACCTAAAATCGAACCGGAAGTGTGACATCGATTCAGGCCATCTCTTCCTGTGGCTTTCCGTCGCTTGAATTCTTTCCGATTTTGTGATCATCAATATAATTCTTTACCTCTCTCTCTGCGGAGTACTCCCTCCATGGAGTAGTAGCCACAAATAAATTCGCGTCGCGTCCCAAAAGTGAAATCTCTGTACAATTTTGTATCTGTATCTGCGATCTGTGTGTGGGCCGTGGACAGAATCTCTCACACGAATCTTTGAGTGATTAATTGTTCAAGCATCCGCTGGTGCTGGAGCTGTTGCTGGTGCTGGTGTTGGTGTCAAATGTCACTGACGGACGCCTCGCGGTGAAGAAGCTGTTGAAAAGTGAAATCCGCTGGAAAGTCTCCGTCTCCCCACGTGCAAAATCGACGATTGTGCCAATCATCTTCAATGCGGCCCCTCAGGGGCGATGACTGAAAAGGAAATGAATGAATGGTCGCCGTCGTCGTCGTCGTCGTCATCGTCGGATACTCGAAAGTGCCCCCGAGGCAAACAATTGTTCAATGAAATGCCAGAATATTTTCTCAATAATTTTTGTTTTTATTCGCTTTTGGAGATGCTTTCGCAGCGCGCTATAGATAAACTTTGTTCTTTGGGCAAGATACAAACCACATGGATGGATGTCTGTCTGCAATTTGTTTATAAATTAGATAGATTTAGTTAATTGTTTTAATGATATTTCTAGCCTAAAATACCAACAACATTGTGGACATGTATTCGCAAATGACTCTCCCTCCCATACCCTACCCCTACCCCTACCCTACCCTCCCCCCCTGTCCAATCTTTTCGGCTATATATACAAATGGAAGTCCCCCTTCGAATCCGTTTTTTTTTGAGTGTTAGACAACTTATGGATCTAACATTTTTCGCTAGACTAAACTTAATGGGCGTTGACTCGTCGTGTGTGTTAGTGTTAGTGTGTGTGTGCTTGGGCAGGGGGCGTGGCAGTGTGTCAATGCTGATTATTAAATTGTTTAAATTGAAGCTAACTACGCTTAACATTCCATTAAGATAAATCACACAAATCTTATATAGATACAACTTGATAAATTAAAACAATAACAAAAGTCGAGCGAGCGAGTGATCGTCTGATCATCTGATCATCATCTGACATGCTCCAGTATCCAGGGTACAAACTTGGAGATGCGCGTACACACGCCGGGCAGATTGGCCTCCGCACAGCCAATGCCCCAGGAGATGATGCCAGCCAGAAAGAAGCGACCGTCCGACGATTTGGCCTGCAAACGAGAGAAAGGATAATCTTTATACTGAAAAGAGGGATATTCTTTGCGTTGACTAACCTGCAGAGGTCCGCCGGAGTCGCCCTGGCAAGAGTCCTGGCCCCCCGTCTCATAGCCCGCGCACAGGAATATGTCTGGTATGAATTCCTGGCGTCCGGCGCGCAGAAACATGGACTTGCAATTGTCGTTGCTTACAATTGGAACGGAGACCTGTAGACGAAGGAATTGTGAGATGTTTAAGATGCATTTCGTATGTATTTTCTCATAGCCTTCTCTCTATCCCATTCTCAAAGATCTTCCAACCATCCCCAGCCCGAAGAGCTGTGTTCCCTTCAAATCTTTTCTCAAACTCATATTCCTAATTGCAATCTCTCCCACTCTCTACGCTGCAGTTGCTGCATTTGGCTCATTTGCCTTCTGGTCGATTCGCTGCGGTCTTCGGCTGTTGCACCACCAAGCACTCACCTCTTGGAGGACCGAGGGCAGGGTGCCGCCCTCGCTCAGACGACCCCAGCCGGTGACCGTGGCATTCATGCCAATTAGAAGGCTCTCCGTCTCGGGCAGACAAATGGGACTGACATGCGGCGCAAATTCGAGCGGCTGCTCCAGCTTGACCAGCGCCAGGTCGTACTCGTACGTGAAGAAGTTGTACTTCGGATGGACCACCTTCTTGGCCACGCCGCGCTCTATATAGGGCAGCTGTTCCTGCACATGGGAGAAGTCGTACTCGCCCACGCGGATGCGTATCTGAGAGATGAGCAGGCTGGAGCGGAATGCAGAGGAGAGGCATAGATTAGCTTCGTTTGGACGGGGCTCGGACTCGGACTCGGAATGGGATACTCACTCGTCCACACAGTGACCGGCTGTGGCTATCCAGTTCTCGTTGATCAAAGCGCCACCGCACCGATGGGTGCTCGAGAAGCCAAAGAAGGAGGTGCGTCGCACCGACACCTGCCAGGGCCAACGACCGAAGGCCGCACTCTTGCCGCCCACAATTCGCGTTTCGGGCCGGGCCAGCGTCGGGACGCCGCATTCTGCAACAATAACAATAACAAATTGGAGTGTCAAGTCGGGACATGATCTAAGGGGGCGTGGCACCTACCGCTGCGCGCCGCCGAAATGGTCTTCACATGCCCCAGCGCCGTCGTTGCCCCGCCCGCCGCCCCATCGTGTGTGGAGGAGTCCGTTATCTCGTTGGTCTCGATATGGCCCCCCTCTCCGCCGCCGCCGATAGGCCGATGCGTGGGCCGACTGCTGCTGCTGCTAGAGATGATGCCTCCACTGCTGCTGCTGGGACTAGGATGTGCCCTGGTCGTGGTGGGTGTCTTGGCAGTGGTTGTCGAACTCCTCGTTGTGCTGCTGCTGCTCTCTGTGGTGGGCCTCTGGTAGGGCCTTGTGTTGCTGGTAGTTCTCCTTGTCGTTGTCGTTGTTGTCGGAGCTGGTGTGGTCGTTCTCCTGGTCGTCGTCGTTGTCGTTGTTGTCGTCGTAGCCTTCGATGTGGAGAAGGTTGGGTAAGCCGACGATGTGGCTAATGATGTGCCCGCCGACAGCTGCAAGGCAGGCCAAAGTGGTAAACATTATGCTAAAATACTCAACGGCCAGCGGAATATTCCCTTCCCCATTCCCCATTCCTCATTCCTCATTCCCCATTCCCATTCCCGAGCCATGCAAAGAATCAATTTTTCATTTCGCCGCTAAATCAGCATTAAGTGGGGATCCTTTGTGGGGATCCTAAGTGACTTCTGGATGCCCTAACCAACGGGGATGTGGATTTGTGCATATGTTTCCCATGATATAGCATTCTCCCTTCTTGGAAGTACTCTTCCCCTGGAAAGAGCATCGCATTCTACACAACACACCCCTGAGAGTGGCTCTCGTCATTGTCAGGCAGGGCGCGGAGAAGGGCAGGACTCAGGGGCAGGGCAGGGCAGGGCTGGGGCAGAGGTAGAGGCAGGCAAATCTTACATCAACTTTTGGCCCTGACTTTGTGCAAACAATAAAATGTCCCCCAAGGCTGTGGCCGCCTGCCATTATGAAGGCTCAGGACCCAGTCCCGGGATCCCCAGGTCCCCCCACCATTCTCCCATTCCCCAAAGTCGCGAAGAGTAAATGACCTCGTGGCTCGTTTGTTTCGCTTTCGACATCAATGCATCACCAGAACCAGAATCCAAATCGGAACTGGCGGGAGAGGGGAGCCTCTGCCTCTGCCACTGCCTCTGCCACATATTTACATACCTGTGGCCTGGTGGGGCCCTGTGTCTGGATCGTCGTCGTCGTCGTCGATGATGTCGTCGTGGATGATGGTGGCAGTGGCGGTGGCGGTGGCGGCCGCTCGTAGACAATCGGTTTCTTTGTGGGCTTCGATGGCTTCGAGGGACGTGGGCCGGACATTGGGAGATTGACGATGCCGGGCTTCGTCCAGCCGGTGGGTCGCGGCCTGGTAATAAAGCTCGGTTCGGTGGTCATCTGCCAGTGATTCTGTTGATTCTGTTGATGCTGCTGTTGCGCCTGCGCCTGCGCCTGCTGCTGCTGCTGCTGCTGGGTTGATGTATGCCAAATGCTATCTGCAGTTGGTATGGTATTTGTTTGTTATAATTCCTCTGTGTGTGCTCTGTGCTAACAATGCATAATGATGGGGGGTGGGGGTTGGGGGGGAGGCGCCACTTACTCGAACTGGAGCTGGAGCTCGAACCGGCGTGCATGGAGGCGGCACTCAGCAGGTCCGAGGCTGTTGTGGGCTTGCTCTGGTAGGGCGGAGGATGTGGGCGTGCCAGGGTGCCCTGGTGGTGCGGACCCGAAGGACGAATCACCAACGTGCCAGCGCCATGTGGTCGCTCGATGGTGGTCATCCCACTGGAGGGGAGAAAGGGGAGGGTAAATCATTTTGTATTTAATATATTTTATGGCTTTACCTAATCATCGGCTTGTAGGCGGGGGGCGGCGGACGCGGCCGTAGTGTCAGCGGCTTGGTGGGTCTCGTGTACGAGAAGGCCGTCTGCGGCAGGACAATGTTGTCCGTGTAGTTGTGCGTGCAACAGGAGCCGAACATGAACGAGTCCACGCACATGCCCACGTGGCGGCCCTCGCTCTTGATGCACTCCCACACGAACATGCAGGTGCCCTCCACGCGGCCGAAGGAGCACGGCTTGGGGCTGATCTTGAAGTTCTGGCTGTTCCGCTGCTGCTGCTGGTAGCCCTCCAGCCGGTGGGGGCTGCGATAGAAGCCCGACAGATCCTCATCTTCGATGGAGTCCAGATCGTGGGGTGGCGTGATCAGGGCCGCTGTCGCTGTGGCCACGAGGCAATTGACTAAGATTAAGGCTACTAATACTTCTACTATTTGGTCTAGACTCCGCCTGCTACCCTTTCCCGCTGCCGTTGCTTTGTTGACTAGCCAATGCCTTTTGGGACACATCTTGGTGGTGGCTGCTGCTCCTCCTCCTCCTTGTGCTGCTGCTTCTCCTCCTTTTGCTGCTGCTGGGCTTCTGCTGCAACGAAGGTAGAAAAGAGCATGACAGTTTTCGGACATTTGTCTTGTTTCGCCTGCCGGAACCCATCCACCAGAACCACAACCACAACCAGAGCTCCGAGCTCCGAGTCGGGGTCCCCTTTTTGCACCCCACTAATTAGGCGCACTTGTCGCGGCGACCCAACAAAAACAAAAATGATGGCAAAAACATTAGAAAGATAAATAGACAATAGTGTCGAAGATGGGCATACCCTAAGAAGATGGAATATTAGGGAGTATGCCACTTTTATAGATGAGAGATCTAGTTATCACTGCCTTCATCTAGGGGTTTCCCTTCTGTCCATTACTATATTTGGTGCCGCTCTATGATACCTCCCAATATACTAGACTGCGGGTCATAGGTTAGAGGCACGCTTGCTTGCCTTAAAATTTGTTTAATATCTATTACTTTAATGATGATTGAGAACAAATTTGATATGAAAAAACCTTGGGCATTCAATGATACTTCAATCATGATCTTCAAATGATTATTAAATTTTGAAAAATTATGTTTTTCAAACATTTTTCTGAAGCAACTCGGAGGCCTTGGAGGCCTTTAGACATATTAATTTTTTGGAACAAAAGTAACTTATTTTTAACTGAAATTTGTAGCTGTTGTTAATATTTAGCCCTTGAGATAAAAGGAAAAAATAGCTTCAGCGATGAGTAATGCCTATATATAGGTACTCTGACCAGTTCTTCATGGACTGATATAGGGCATCTATGATACCTTCAAGGGTATGATGGGTTAGGAAAAACCTTAGAGTGAGGCAGGCCCAGGCAGCGATTTCTACTCGTTATGATTGCCCAGCAACAGCGGCAGCAGTGGCAGAGGTTGTGCCTCATGTTGCACATGTTGCAGATGTTGCTGCTGCCTGCCTGCCTGTCGTTGCAGTTGTCGTTTTTGTTGCTGCTGCTGCTGCTGTGCAGTCAGTGACTGGTTTAATTACATCTTTTCACTTTTGCTTCATAATCAGTTGGTTTTTTTCTGTGTTTTGTTTTATTGTTGAAGCAAGAGTGGAAAAAATTTATTGCGATCGCACGGAATCTGTTTTACAACGACGACACATGCCACAATTAATAATTTCTTGTCCCCAAAAAGAAGAAAGAAAGAGAGTTGAGTTGAGTTGAGTTGCGAGGGGCAGGTGCTTCTAGTATGTATCTTTAAAATTTAATTAAAGCTTGCCCAATCGCCTGGCCAGACCTTCTCTGTGGTAGATGGTGCACGGTGCACGGTGCACGGTGCATGGCTCTGGCCCCCTTTGTGGCTGATGACAACTTACCTGTGTCCAAGTCTGTGTCTGGGTCTGATTAAAGTTGCTTGCTTCATCGGTAACGTGCCGGGCGCATGTCTGCAATAGAGATTGTGTGGCAGCGAGTGCCGGGGAGTTGTAGAGTGCTCGAGAATATAATAATCAGAATCATAAGTATAGGAAGGAGAGGAAGGAACCACCACCACCACACCACCACCTCTGCCATGGTACCGTGATACCATGATACCATGATACCATGATACCATGATGGTTGGTTGTTAGTAAGTTTTTTCTCCTTCATATTTTGTTGTGTTCTGCTGTCGAGCGAATGTCGAGCGGAATGTGCACTGCGCGCCCTGGCTATAATTAGTGGCCTCTAACTGCAGTAGATCCACATTTAAGTGGTGCATGCATGTGGTGCCACCCACCAGACAGGCCCCCCACTCACGAGACCCACGAGATGGCGGTATTAGCCGATCCTCAGAGATCGTAATCGTATAATCACCGCCATCATCATCATCGTCATCGTGTGGTAGATGCTGGCGAGTTTGTGGCCAGGAACCATGGGCCCCCTGCCCCATAGGGAGGCTGCTGGTGCTGCTGACAACACTTTGGGGGCGTCACCACTCGGCCATCATTATGTGACACTCGTATGAGGGTTTCTTGGGAACAACTTCTTGCCACCGAAAGGGAGATTATGGGTGTTGGAATAATTGATGGCTTGGGCGCTTAATTACTTGGATTTTAATCGCTTAAAGCTTTAATTTTTCGACAATTTATTCGTGGAAGAAACACAGAAATATCTGTGGGGAAACATGGATTCCACCTATCCTTGAGGGATGTCTAAGGGATGCATTGATAGTCCAAGAGATTCCCATACATCTTAGCCTCCAAAGCATGCCTTTCCCCTCTCCTGGGGATATTCAATCTCCCAGCCAATCATCCCGCCATCGTAGCCCCAAATCATACGTGTAGACAAATTATATCTCAGCCAGCAAAATCCCGTTTATCGCCTCATCATCTCAATGTTTGATTATAATTACAAATGGCTCCAAAATGCAATTTGATACCAACAAAAAAAAACAAAAAAAAACGAAGACTTGGAAGAGTCTTTCAAGCACATCATTGGCTGCCATGTCGATGTTGATTGAAACCGAAATTGATATTGATGTTGGAAGCTCTGATCATCTATCTGCCCCCTGCCCCCTCCTGAGCCGCCCAATTTCTGGCCTTTTCCCAGACTTTGTTGCCGTGTCTAGGCCTCTTTCTGGGAGGGGCGGGGGTATCTGCTCATTGGGTTCCATTGAGCCAGAAACGCAAACGCTCACTCTTAATAACTTTATTTTGAAAATGGTAAAGAGAGAGAGGGGTAAAAAGATGTGCTTGCCCCTGCCACACGCCACAAAGCCCCGATCCATTCGGCGCATGAACCGTTGGAAATCGATTTCGTTACGTTTTCATTTCCTCAACGAAAGCAGCAGCAGCAGCCGGCGAAAGATCTTTCTTACTCACGAGATTTCAGAGTCGTGTTTTTTTTTTTTGCAGAGAGTTTGGAAGTTCGAAAAATACCCGAAACGTAATTACCCCGTTTAAACGCCCCAAAACAGAAGCAGCAACCACTGAAAACCGAAAACGGAAAACTGAAGTAGCAACAGGCAATCTTTTGTGCTAATGACTATCTTTAGAGGGCCACAAAAAACCAAAACGAGCCAAAGACGGGTAGCAAACAGTCTGACAAACAGTCAAACAGTTCGTTCAGACAGAACCCACCAAACAGACAGACAGACAGACAGACCGACAGATAGAACAAGACTCAAACCCAAACCCAAAGCCTGGGGCTAAATAATTTTCTAGCAAAATTTTTCAACTATTAGAAAAATGTGCCCCAAACCCCGAAAGAGATGCCGCCGGAGACTCCAAGTCGGACTTGGAGTTCGTGTGGTTTCCCCTCAGCTGACGATGGGTTGATCTGCCGGAGAATTAAGCAATGAACACTGAGAGAAAAGGTTTCTGCAAATGGAAAAACTAAGCCCACAGAATATCATCTACGAAACGATTAATGAATGATAGTTGCACATTTCTTATAGAATGAAAAGGGTTAGACTTGAAGGATTAGTGGCTTATTTTGTTGGGAATTAATTCCACTATGAAAAAATCGAAAAATATGTCGATTCCTGGCAAAAAGACTTGAAAGAAATTTGGCAAAGTTTAAAAAACATTAAAAATTGTAGAAAACTTCTACTATGGCTCTAAATATCTTTAAGTACAGCCATGGCTTCGACACGAATAAAAATTCCTATGAAAGGTCATCGCATACTCTTCTCAAACCATCAAATTTTTTGGATCTTAGTTCGGTAAATGCCGAGTGAAAATTATTTAAATTAAATTAAAATTGCATTCTCTAAATATGAGCCTATGACCTGCTGGTCTCCTGCTAAGTACCTTCAGGAGTGTCCATTTTGTTGCCCAGTGCCAACCCCTAGTCGTTTCTCTCAGTGTAAGTACGTGCAGATCAGAACGCGGGCCTGCAGTACTTGGCAGCGGCTGCGGCAGCGGCAGCCGACTAGTTGAAGAGAGTAATTGTAATAACAATTGCGCAATTTGCGTCAGTCACTTAACTTCTACGTTTTTCCCTTGCCCCCTTGTCCCCTTGTCTCCTTGCCGCCCTTCTCGCTGCCACCTTTTGGCGTGTGGTAAAGTGAGGAAAAGTCTCAGCCCGTTTAGTTAAGAGCCCACTGGACACCGGGGGGCATCAGCCGCAGTATCAGCACAAGATTGAGGTCCAGCTGCAGCTCTGGTCAGAGCCGCTGGAGATCCGCTGCAACAGGGATGGATCTTCGGAGAAGAGTCGCCTCCTGTTGGCCGGTAGGCGTTTTGTCAATCGTCGGGCGATCGACAGGCGACGGCACAGATGACAGGCCGCCCAGGCTAATGAAAAAGATAAACAACTGGATCACAGCCTCACAGCAGCTCCAGCAGCAGGTCCAAGCCAGTCCCAGCCAGACACGCAGCTAATATCACGAGGAGAAGGGGGTCGAGGGGCGGGGGGAAGCTGTACCTCTGATGGCGGCATCTTTGAGATGTGCCTCCTCGCAGAGGAAAGTACTCCCTAGTTATAATCGCAGCGCGTAACGCAAACACAATTTTTGAGTGGTTCGAGTTCGGGCCATGTGAAATCCATCTATGCCTGGAGGCGCACAAGATCTACGACCAGAGAAAGGCCAGGAGGAGGAGGAGACGTGCAGAGAGTGTGCACAGTCTGGGGGAAAAGTCGTTGCACCTGAGACGTACGTCGGCCGCCGCTTATCAATGTGAAAATCAAAAGAGAATCAAAGAGAACGAGCCCCAAAGAGCGGAAGCGCAGTCTAAGCCAAATTGAAAGAGGTGCTTAAAATCTCGTTATAACTGGGGGAATACTCGTACATATCGGTAGTATATCGCTCTCCGGAGAGTGATAAATGGATGCACATTTGATATAGGGATGGGATTAATGGCAAAAGAACCGTTTATGTTCTTCGGTGGAGACCGGGAGGGGCACAACTTTCTGCAGTTAATGGATGGACCCAGACCTACGATCTGAGCACCAGTTCTCCATCCACTTATGAGATTAACATAATGATCTCTGTCTCATTAATTCCACAAAGAATCACCTGATCTTTGATCAGATAAAAGTTCTTC